CTTAAACTAATATTTTTAAATGACAAAACCAATAATGCTATAGCCTTTAAAAAAAATAAATAATAATAATAATAATCATCATCAGTTAGTACCAGGAAGCACAGCATGCATATAACTGTGCACAAAATGAAGAACAAAATTAGCTAAGGTTATTATTACAGTTACCACTGCTTACGTTTTACACTTAGTATCACTGCATACCTCAGATTTAAACCATAGCTGTGACATTTACATCAATTTACAAAACCACTTATTTCCTGTGTTGGCAATTTACCCTCTATATTTCAGCAATGTTTTCCCATTTTCAACGTATAAATGTACTTTTATGCCCTGGGCAGAGGCAGGCTGCAATTGCACCAAATCGGTTGGAGGATTTCCATAATATTTAGTTTCTTGTTTGTACTCGGACTGTTGTGAGAAAGCTAAAAGTCTTTCATATTAGGAAAGCCACCTATTGTACTATGTCTCCTTCTGGACTCCTGTATGCATATAAAAGCTTTGCTCACTCTACAGGACGAGTGCTTTATTGGTGTTTCGTTACCCATTCAAATATGGGGGGGGGGAAAAAAAAAAAAACCGCACACAGTCATTGATATTCATACTGCAAAAACATTTGTTTAATGTTCTTAGACCAATGACGTATCTGGAATATTTCATTTGTACATTCTCCCCAACTCCATGTTCTGCTTTGATTTTATTAAGCAAAGCAAAGAAAGAAAAAAAAGGAAGCGAAACTGAAACAAAAAATAAAACTGAACCCAACAGAAAAAGACATGTTAAGAAGGCTGAACGGAAAAAAGCGCCAGGATCATCAGTGCCTCGGAATAGCGGCAGGCATATGGAGAACACGAATAAAGCATTTAGTCAGATTGCAAAGTGTACTTGTGAGGATTGGCAGATGGAAAAGAGGGAGACTAGACTCACTCCCACTGGTTAATAGTTATTACCACTTAGGAAAGAAACAATCAGCGTTGGTGTCTTTAATTGTCAACGCTTGATCTCATTTTCAGACAGCACAAGCCTGCTGTATAGGTGTAATGACTTGAGTTTACAGAAAATGCTTGAATTTGAGCTACATTAGACAAAGTTGAGTGAGCAGGCTATTAAGGACTTTGTAAATAATTGAAGAAGCTGAGGGGAGTGCAGCTGTAAAGAAAACAATATAAAAAATTAAAAAATAAAGGAAAATGTGTTTTTATAATCTGTGTAAAACAATCCTTTCTTGAATTTTATTAATATAAAATATGTTTTGACCAAATGATTTGCCTGCTGATTGAGGAATTGGTATTATTGCTTCTCTGATCAGGAGTGAGGATATTGTTCGTGTAAAACTGCTCTCTCGGTGGTGCTGCAGGTAAAGCCGTTTGCAAGTGGTAAAAGATGGAGCCCTGCAATAGAACTGTAGTAAACAGGCTTCCTGTCTAACCAGAGAAGATGAAGGCTGAAGACACAAACTCTCAGAAGAGCTATTCACTGGAAACTAGTAGACAGAGAGAGGACAGGCCCACCTGCCCCATCCCTCTCGCTGTGGGGAATGAGGCACAAGGGGGGGATGTTACTGTGAACAGGTCTCAGGTGGCCCACCCCCACAGAACGCATGCAAAATAACCCAATCTGATCCTGCAGGAGGTGTTTGTATCAGACTTAGTCACTTCTCTAGTCTACTGCATTTCTTTTCTGTTTGGTGCTTTCACTTCCTTTTGCAGTGCACACTCAGAGCCTGTATGACACACTACCAAGAATGTTGATTTTTGTAATGTTAAAATTAAAAAAAAAAGGCTGTGTATCCAAAAACATTAAGTTACACTAGTAAAAAAACATGTTGGTATTCCTTTTGTTTCAAAGCATAATAACTGAATTTGATATACCTGACATGACATTTGTTGTGATATGACTATTACACATGCACACAATACGTATAGCCTTTGTCTATACAAGTTATATTGAAATGATTTCAAATTGCTCCCATGCATAAACCAGACATTCAAACTACTTTGACACCTATGACACCTCGCACACATTCTCATGAGATAATCAATTGCTTATCTCTCATAATTCAGTATATTTTACAGTACTCACAAAGCTAGCCGCTTCAAAACGAGGGCCACTCTGTCGGACTCTGCCGTGAGGTGGGATCGAGCTGAAGCAAAGCAGTTTATGGACAGACAGTAGACCTCCAGAAGAGGCAGCCCATGTTCCATGGAATTCCTGCTTCCAGCATAGTGCATCAGTGCCTGCAAAGACACACAAAGGCATCAGAAACTGAAAAAAATAGTTGATGAAGCAGATTTGAAAGTAGAGTAGAAATATGTAGTAGCAATGTTCAAAAACTACAACCAGAAGAGGAAGCATTTGCCATGGATGATCAAAGGTTTTCACCTTAGGGAGATGCCTGTCTATACCTGATTGATCCCAGCTGACACACTGTCTGGTGTGTGCCTGCTGTGCTCCAGATTGGGCCTGAGGGGACTTAACTGTTGCTTTAAAACAAAAAAAGGAAGGAAGACTTCATACAGTACATGATCATCACACATACATAATGATCTCATACTGTATATGACCATTAAATTTGAGTTCTTGGGATGATTCAACCTGGTATAATTTCACACAATTTAAAACAGAATCAAATTCAATTAATTAAATTAATATTACCTACAAGAAACAAGTGTTTTATATAACTCAACATTTACTGTTAACAGGGAGGAAGGTCTCGTTTCGAGCAAATACTCAGCGATCAGCTGTCCTTCAGGAACAGAGAAGTCAACATCTACACCCATCTGTCACCTGCTTGTAGTTGGTGGGTATACACATTAAATCATCATAGCGCTATCAGCATCCCAGGAGTCTCATTTGCCAGATAGAAGGAACTTTTCTAGGTGGTTCTCGTGCCCACAGAGGCACTAAATTAATTCCCCTCTGTCTAAATATACAGTACCCTCTCAAAGGAAGGTAGGAATAAAGTCTAGGCCCTAAAGACCTACATCAGTGTACTAATTACATCCGTGAGATTTCCGACTGGAATTGGGAGTCACACAGATCTTTTTGCCTTTGTTTTACGAAAACCTGGAAGATTGAAGTTAAAACTGTACTGAAATTGAGTTTTAGTGTTAAATCAAGTGTCATTTTACACAGTTACCAACACCAAACATGGGAACGCATACAATCTTTCAACTTACTTATAAGGGGGAAGTTAGAGCTGTTGAAATCATTGAGAAAAATTCAAAAGCAGCCTAATTAAAGAAGACCTGTCAGGGTGAACTAGCTAATGAATTACTCCTGCTATACCATTCTCAAAGGCTGCTGAACAGGTTTCAAGGGAAGCTCTCTAATGGTTGAAAAACTTGCAGAGTCCCTTAAGCAGCAAAAATGAAAGTGATACCTAGTTTTTAGTTAAATCAGATCCTTTAGAAAGCGGAAGCCACAGTAATTTCCCTACCATGATGACTAGATTTGTGTTTTAACTGGACTCCAATCTAAGATTTCTTTAAGGGAGACTAAAAATCTCCATTGTCGTAACTGACAGATGCGCAGGTTTAGAAACTGTCACATTTCAAGAGCACAGGAAAAGCGTATTTTCTTGAAAGTGGTCAAAATGCAACACTCCTTAGTAGCTAAACGCCCCCCAACAACAAAAATATTATGATAAACATATCTCGACGCTGCCCCGCCCCACAGGCATGCAGTAATACATGATCTGCAAACCGTGTCAATAAATTCATACAAACATCTGTATTACATTTTCTTCGTTGCCACCATAATCACTTCCCAAATAAAGCAAAGCGAAAAGACCTTTGATCTTTGAATGTAAGGCGACTCGAACCTGCAAATTGAGCAACAAATCACTGAGCTGCAAATAAGTCCAACGGCCGTGAGTTGTTTGGGTGTAAAAATAATAATAATAATAATGACAAAAAACACAAAAGCATATGCAAATATGCGCAAAAATAAACGTACTGCAATTGGGTGTAATCCTAACCTAAACTTGGCCAGTTAGCTAACAGGCCAGCAATCGTTGCTGGTAATTCTGCTTGCGGGATGCGAGAGGGAAAAAAAACAGTCCTGGGTGAGCTAACGATAGGCTAATTGTAGCTTCGATGCTGCATGTACACATTACCTGACAGAAGTTATCGCAGTACTCCGTGGAAGACGCTACGGAGATTTCTTGTTGCCTGAGGACGTCCTCGAAAGCTCTCAGTGTGGCCAGCAGGTTTTCCATTGCAACTAGGGTATCTTCGGCCGTGTCCAGGGCCCAGTCGCTCCATTCGTGCTCTGGTTCGACATTATTCTCCGCCATCTTCACTCTCCACCACAGCGCGTATGCAGTGCAGTCTGACGACCCCTTCAATGCTGTCGGAATATTTAAATACATCAGCTGAACTGACACCAAGATCACCTGAAAAGTAAGTAGAGGGGGTGGTAAGAGCAGAAATACAAAGTGGGCTTGTACTGTTATATTCAGGCCGTTGTTGCTATTCCTTTTTAACCGCAATATCGATATACTTTATTTTCTATCCAATATAAACTTTGCTCTCTAAATTTATGCGAACAGTAATTCAGTTATTCTGCTTGATTTTAGCTCTGTGTGCTTTTTCTTACATCCATCTCTTTCTGTTCTATTTTTTTCAGTCTGAAAATAATAACCTTTATTACAGTTTTTCTCGGGTGGTACACTGACACTGATAGTTACGCAAAGCACCAAAAGGTAGCGTGACATAGAGCATAACACACCTGACAGTTTATCAGACCAGAAAGAAATCAACTGCACTGTACCCCCCCCCCCAAAAAAAAAAAAATCGTAATAATTGGTTGATCAAATATTATTCAACTTTATTCAACTTCGGTGCCAATTTTTCGCTAAAACTGCATGCCAAATAAGTGCTCAGCTAGCGCTATTAGTAAAAATCCGATATTCTAGGAAAATAAATGTTAATCTGAAGTGAATTACGATTAAATATAATTTTGTTAGCGTTTAAATTAAAATAGTTAAGGTGTTTTTATTATCGCCCCACTGTTAGAGACCGGGAGTTTCGCGCCCTCTGGAGGTGACTGCGTAGTATCGTTCTACTCCATTGACCCGGAAATAGATTTCACTTCTCTCGGTCACACGTGTGGAAGGTAAGCAAAGTCTGAAAATAACATCTGCGACGGCTTATTAGATGTAGATCGGCTGCAGTAACGATTGATTAGACGTTAAACGCATATTTTTGATCGGTATTTGTAAATAGATTCTAAGAATATTAACTGGGAAGTATCAGTGAAACAATCGAAAGATTTTAATGTTGACACAAGTCTGTGACGTGTCTGCGTTCATTTTGGGTGTTTAAAACCCTTTTGTTTCACACAGTACCAACTGGTTATCATGGGGAAGTCCAAACAAACCCGAAACCACAACAATGGCAAGAAGAAGAACATTGCAAAGACCTGGAAGACAAAGCGCAGGACCAAAGACCTGGATCAGATCCACTCAGACATGAAGCCTGACACGGCTGCTAAACTGCTGCATCAGGAGGTTGACTACGATGTAACCGGATGTGCACAACACTACTGCTTACACTGCGCGTAGGTATTTCTCTGTTTACTGTAACAGTCCATCTGTTAACTGACTTTGCTTGATATATATGCTGCTTACTAAACTCTTAGCCTTCATCAGTATTTCCTTTAGTAAGATATTTAATATTTCACCTTAAGTTCTGCCGAACTTTTCCCATTGGGGTTGGAAAAGAAGTAAATCTTCCCATATGAAAAGCTGGAATGGAGAAATATTCTGTATTGTCCAAGTCTGAGGCCACAGGTCTCAGCTGGAAAAGGGTGGCGTACCCAATGATGAATGATTCGAGCAAATTTCAGTCCTAATCCAGGGTTCCAGATCCTCATGGCTTCCTTAAAATGAAATGCCCTCTTCTTATACTCTCTTATGCTGTGAGCTGTTCATCTGTTAAATTTTTAAGAAATATAGATTTTATTTTAATGTGATGGCTCTTCTTGTTTTGCAGGAGATATTTTGTGGATATGAGATCCTTGAAAGAGCACTTCAAAACTAAAGTGCATAAAAAACGGTAAGCGGACCACTCTACAGTCACATATTTGGACTTACAGCTCGTAATCCTATCCATGTAAGTTTCATGGCTTACCTCCTTTTTTCCCCATCCAGACTGAAACAGCTCAGAGAAGAGCCCTACACCCAGGAAGAGGCAGAGAGAGCAGCAGGCATGGGCTCATACATCCCTCCAAAAGTTGTTGAAGTGAAGACCCAACCATTAGAGGAGGACATGGAATGAAAGCCTCTGACATTAATCCACGGACTGATTAACTCATAAAAGAGGCATTAGCAGTTAATGCTTGCAGTTATTGTTGTCACATACTTTAGTAGCAAATCTGAAAATGCCTTTTGTGACAGATAATGTTTGTTTTTCAGCCAGCTGTGAGAAACATGGTTGTTAAACTTCCATCACCAAGTTCAGAAGGCTTCTCCTTACAATCAGATGCATTGTCTGCCTATGTAAATACAAAGGATGGTGGAATGTTTTCTACAATAATAAATTTTGTGGAGTTGATTAAGTCACATTACACATGTGGAGTACAGCAGTGCAGTTAGAGCTGTACCTGAACTTACCAGACAAAGAAATAGAGGAAAACGTGCATTTCTGTACACAAAGTAATATTTATTTTTCACGCTAGTTGTTCATTTAAAATACTGGACAGTTAACTAAGTTTGACTATTGATAGAAAATGTAATTCTGCTGTGTACTGTAGACCTTATTTTGTTACTGCTTCAAATGGAGGGAATTGGAGATGTGCATAGTGATTCAGATGTCTGCGACCAGGCTAACTTATACCTCGTTAAACTTCTAAATGTTCTTAATTAAACAATCTTGAGACAACACTGCACAGAGATCATATCATCATGTCTCATTTTACAGGTCACAAGGATTGGGAATGACACAGTTGGAGTGCTTGTGCTTTAGTTGGAGGCACTGGGTTTCACACGTAGTCCCCTATTTTCAGTGGCGTAGTAACTGAGCAAACTCATAATTTTAAATATCAGGAGTATTTTTAATGCTTCAGTGGAAATTCTTGGCACTCGATGGCTGTGTGAAATCTACAGTCCATGAGCATTACCAGTGCTGTAGCCACCTTCGGCTGTTTGTTTGTGGGTCTCTTCATTCAGTTTTGAATTTAATTACCGAAAAGCTAATCTGTTAGGTTGAAATCAGGTGACGGATTGAAAAATATCCCATATGTTTGTCTTGAGAAACGCTTGGGTTGCTTTTGAAGTATGCGTTGAGCAAGAATCCGTTTACTGTGAATCTGTGAAGCTTTGATCAGTTTTGCAGTATTTGGCTGAATCTGAGCGGATAGTATAGCCTTGTACACTTCACAATTCATTCTGCTACTTCTATCAGCAGACACTTCCACTGTCAGCCATACATGCCCATGCCGAAACATTGTCTCTACCATGTTTGAAAAATAATGTGGTTTAGTGTAGATCTTTCTCCATACTTTTATCTCACTGGTTTCATCTTTCCGACAATTTTTTTTTCCTTTGCAGCCTAATCTGGTCTTCCTGTTCTTGAGTGTAACCAGTGGGTTTCACTTAATTGTAAATCCTGTATTCATGAAGTCATCTTTTGATTGTAGACTTTCATAATGATATTCCTTCCTCCTCAACAGTGCTCTTGACTTAAATAGCTGTCGTGAAGGGGATTCTGAAGCAAGGCAGTAACTGCGATCTTCCGCTGTATTTGTCTCGTGTGGTTTTTCAGGCATTTTGCGTTCCTGAGCTGGTCACTGCATTTTTTTCCCCCCTGCAGAACTGTACCAGGTTGGTCAACCCTAAAGTTTTAGCTCCTACTCTGATAGGTTTGTTCTGGCTTTTCAGCTAATCATAGCCTCCCTGATCATTTTTCTGGGCCTCATATCGAGAAATCCAGTGACCAGCTACCAAATGCAAGTTGAAAAATTGGAATAAACTGCAGGTCTTTTATTCATTTTTAATAAAATAATCAGGTATATCAGGTGTCCAATTATTGTATAAAGTTGGCTATAATTCCTAAGTATTCACTGCAATACTTTTGTTCAATCCCTCACATGAAAGATGGAAGTTTGCATTTTAATCACAGCTTAACTTGATGTAAAATCCATTGTGGCGGTGTACAGAGGAAAAACTACCATAACAACATATTGACCTATCCAATACTTATTGACCTGACTGTATATGAAAACCCACATTCACCTGTTCACATTTATATTTGCACTTCAGTGGTTTTATCTTGTCACACACACCTGTGCATGTATTGAGGTCAGTTTGTGGTTCAGTATTTTTCTCAGGGACACTGTGATACACAGACTGAAGACATTTAATCTGTACCTTTTAAAACAACAGAAAAACCACAAAATAAAGTTCCAGAGAAAGAATACTGGAATATACCGCTGTAAGGTTCTTGGCCATTCAGGAGTAATGGACACACATAGAGAGACAAGTAGCTCTTTAGTCCTCCTTTGGGCTCCAGATGCGAAAGTCGGAGTTTATCATCAGAATAAGAATACTTTAATAAACCCTAAGGAAACTATGTGGTTTACAGTTGCTCCAAGACAATAATAGTAACAGACTACACTAATTGTATAATACAATATATTACAAACTTTTAAAAGTATAAGAATTAGCTCATTTCTACATATCAAAAATGTTACAGAGGTCAAATATATATAATTAACATTTTACTCTAACCTGTACAACTTTGTCTTTGTTATTTTACTGTAGAGGATGTGCAAAAGGGTGTAACTATAGTGTGTACTGTGCATTAGATGGAGGAGTTGTACAAAGAGACAGGTACAGGCAGGAATGATTTCCTGTGTCATTCAGTGGTGCATTTGGGTAATCTCAGTCTCTCACTGAACGTGCTCCTGTGACTGGCCAGCAGGTCATGGAGTGCGTGCAAAGGTATTGTCCAGCATTGTCCTTATCTTGGACAACATCCGCTTCTCCAACACCACCCTAAGGGAGTCCAGCTCCGTCTCCACAACACTGGCCTTGTGGATCAGTTTACTGAGCCTGTTGCCATCTGCAACCTTCAACCTGCTGCCCCAGCATGCAACAGCGTAGCGGAGGGCATTGGCCACAACAGACTTGTAAAACTCCTGAGCATTGCGCGACAGATATTGAAAGACCTCAGCTGCTTCAGAAAATGGAGACAACTCTGGACCTTACTCTAGAGTGCAGTGGTGTTTGGTGTTTTCTATGAGTACACCAAGGTATGGTGTACACATAGATGATGAGCTGGAGATGATTCTGCTCACACCAAGTGACAAAGCAGTCAACCACAGCCCGGTACTCCATCTCATCACCCTCATTGATGCATCCAACCACTGCAGAATCATCAGAAAACTTCTGAAGATGGCAGGTCTCTGTGCAGTGGCTGAAGTCTGTAATATAGATGGTGAAGAGGAAGGGGAGGTGCTCCTGTGTTGCTTATCACCTTGTTAGACACACAATGTTAAAGACGCACATATTGTGGTCTTCCTGTAAGGTAATCAACAATCAAGGACACAAGAGATGCATCCACCTGCATCACTGTCAGCTTATCACCCAGAAGGGTTGACCTGATGGTATTGAATGAACTGGAAAAGTTGAAAAACATGACCCTCACAGGTCTCACCGGCTGGCCCAGATGGGCGTAGACAAGAATGAGCAGTTAGATGATGGCGCCCTCAGCTCCGAGGTGGGGCTGGCAAGCAAACTCAAGGGGATTCTGATGTGGCCTGACTGGGTCGGGGCTGGGCAACGATAAGTCTTTCCAGGGTCTTCACAACGTCCCACAGGCCTGTAATCCTGTGGCACTGAATTCATATTGCACTAAAATGTTGAGGATTCTGTGTGAGATAGGGCTACTTTAGTGCCTTTTGCTTGGGGGAGTAACCTTTTAAATGTGCCTATTGTACATCAATGATAAATACATTTACATTTATAAACCCATGGATTTTCGTAACTCATATGCCACCTTTTGAGGTGAGGAGGTGTCCATAGATCAGCTATAGCTATAGGTTCAAACCCCAGCTCTGCTGAGCTTCCATTGCTTGGCTCTTGAACAGGACCCTTATCCCCGCAATGTATATATTACAAAGCAGCAGATAAATAAATACAAACCGTTAATGCATTTAAGATAACCCAATTAATTAAGTGATACATGAATTGATTTTTCTGTTTAAAAGTAAGAGCGGAGATTTTCACTTTAAGCAAAAAGCTTCTTACATCTTAGCACACGCTTATGACACAGCATCAAAGTAAAGGTTTGATAGTTTTAATGGAGTGTTTAATTCTATTGCAGACAAATCTAACCATTAAAGAGAAGATAAAAAAGAAACAAATGTTAAACCTCTGCTTCTAGATTAACTTACATAAAATAAAGGTAAGTAAAATCTAAATTTTGGACAGAGCCATTTGGCAGATACATTTATAAGTTAGCTCATTATAAAACAGTTGCATTGTTGCGTGAACAATGCAACCGTACGTCTTTAAATACAGCTAGTGCCCCAGTGTACCCAGTAGAAAGATTGTAAAGTTATACTTCCGGTTATTACTTTCAAAATAAATCGTAGCGCTTAGCTTAGTTTAATTGAGTTTTTCTTTTTTGCCAGTAACCAACAACAACTTTGGCATTTTGCTAAAAATATATTTGAATTCAAAACAAGTTGATCATAATATCATCAAAGAATTGCTACATTACGACACTCTCGCGCTTTTATTTTGAACGCCAAAACACTATACATCCGCTTTACCGTGCCAATTACATGCTAGCTTGACACCTTAACTGCATCCATATGGCTCGAGATTGGATGTGGGAAATAAGAAATCTGTGCTGCTAGCTAACGTTGCACAGCTGTTGCCAGCGGGGGTAACGGCCAGAGAAGAAGCGAGATCCTCTCCTGCGGGACAGAAAAAGTCCCGCTAGACTCGTCGCACTTTTTAAAAGAGCAAGTTTACACTGAAAGACGAACATGCCTTCGACTAAATAGCGGTGGTGGAGGTCGAGGATGGCCGCAGACGTAGATAAAAGAATCCCGGAGGAAGAGAAAAAGATTGCGCCGCAGAATGGGAAGCAGAGCCCGGGCTCGAGATCCTGGATCTGCAGGGGGATGTGGACTTGGGTGGTCGTCTGTGCTGTTCCTCTGTTCGCTTTTGGGATAAAGTACTACCAAGATGCCCAGCTCCTCAAACGTCATGTGAGACCCAAATCTGTAATTATGTTATATCACAGTTTAACAGTGATCTCGACTTGGTGGGTCTAGCTGTGTTAATAGAAACTTTGCAGTGACCTTCTCGTCCTTTTGAGGACCCATGATTACATTAAAATCAGCGCAGGGACATTCTGCTGTTATCTTGCAGTAGTTTTCTCTGTAACCGATGTGTTTCGATTATTTATTTAGCGGACACGCAGTCACCATAAAGCTCCACATCTGCAGTTTTTCCACCCCCGTAGTGTTTTATTATAGGGGGGTGGGTCTTTGTCACAGCTGCTAAAACTCACCCCCTTGTCCAAATCCAGACTTGTTTGGTTACTGAGGGTCTCCAAGTTGTTCTTGCACCTCCCTCCCCCTCTTCCCTCCATTGTAAGGTCGCTGGTAGGCACGCGTCTGCTTCAGAAAGGGTGGTTTGACTGAAATGCATGCTAGGAATCTGCCTCCTCAGGGATGATCTTTATCCAGGCAGGATGCTCAGTCATTTGGGATAATGTAGCACATTACTTTAAATGTGTCACACATCTGAGCGAATGTTTTTGTAGTTGTAATAATTTAAAATATTTGCATTTCATGTGATGGGGTCTTAATGTCCTAATATTTTTTATGCTGCATTTAAAAAAAAAAAAAAGCATATGAATTGACCGTGAAGATCAGTCTAATGCATGTGTCCCTCCAATAGGAAGAGAGTGTTCGGACACTGGGTGCCGAGGGGCTTTTTCTCTTCTCCTCTTTAGACACGGACCACGACTTCTATCTCAGTCCGGAGGAGTTTAAACCTATTGCAGAGAAGCTCACAGGTGCATCATGTTACCTTTCTTTGTGCTTGTCACTTTTGTCCAATCATTTTCCTTCAGTCTCCTTTGTTACCTATCCTTGTGGTCACAAGTTTACATATACTCATGAGGCATGAATTTCAAAGTAGGGCTGCCAGAAACGATTATTTTGATAGTAGACTAGTCACCGATTATTTTTGGGATTAGTCGACTAATTAGATCATGCATCCATTGGACGTAAAACGTACAGTTCATTGCACCAGCATGCATCTGCTCTTATATAACTATCATTAGCTTACAGCTTTAAGTGTGTAAGGTATGTGCTAACTAAAAATAAAGACAAGATGATAGTTTATTACATTTTAATGAAATTTGCAGATTGTTTCGGTGAAGTTTAATAAACTCCTTGCTATCTAAAGCATCTCACACTTCTGATAATCAGCTGTCTGCTTGACGTTTATTCAGCTGTGTAAAAACTATAACTTTAATCTC